TAAGGGTAATACCAAGAAGGTGGCAGAGCTGGGATACTGTGCCATAAACACCGCAGCACCACATTTGGCTCCAAGAGGTGCGCAGATGACTGAATTTTCATATTTTGATACCAAATACAATCAATAAAATCGTAAGCTTGTGTGGCTTGGTAAAATTGCCAGTCCACATGCTCAACTGACTTTAAGGACAGAGAGGGAAACTCCATCCCACTGCGGCTGGAAAGGAACAGAGCTACGTTCACACAAGAAAGGTCACTCTGCGTCATCCTCTTATACGGTAGCACAATATCTATGCTCACTCTGCTTCCAGGGCAAATGCAAGAGACAAGACCTGGCTGAGGCATCAGGCTGGCCTCCATCCTCTGCAATATAAAGGCATATGAAATCCCTCAATGAAAATAAACCTGCATTCCTACATATTCCGGGTTCTCCATGACTAAAGTTACAATCTAAGTGAGACGATATAACTACAATCGTTGCAGAGTGCAGTGCTCCTGAAGTTCTGTATCTCAAAGGAGGCATCATAAAAAGGTGCTGACATCTCGAGGCTATTAAGGAGATCACAGCGCTATTATCTTCACAGTACGATGACACCTTTTGTTTAACTGTCTTTTAGTAATGTAAATGTGCCTAAATGCAGCATACTTAAGAATTCAAATCATAAACTGTTACTAGAAATCATAAAGCATTATTACAATTACTAAAGGAAATAACTAAACTGAACATACAGAACAAGTCATATGATTAAAGATGGACAGTCATACCCAAGTGACTAACTTCCTCAGGCATTACTTAACCTGTTCGTAGCCATTATTTATTGATGGCAATATAGTTATTTCCAAAAGCAAAATTTAGTCTACACTTCATTTTCTAGTTGGTGGTTTTCCTCCCCGCACCGCCCCCGCCCCAAATGTCTTTGAGAAAATAAAACTGATTTCTCTGCTTTAAAAAATTTCATGATCAATCTGTTTGTTACCTCTGGCTTCAGCTAAGTATATGACCTGACAAGAGGAGGACAGACAGCATCCTTCTCTGAATGCTTTCATATGCAGCCTCCTAATTTTCATTAATGAAACGTTGTAGAATGTTGCAAAGAAATGTGAACAGCATAACCCCGTGTTAACTTGAAACTGATGTATCTTATGGCACTTTGTTTCAACACTCACCACATTTATGAACTCCAATCAATTATATATAGTTTACGGGACATTGCCCATTTATAACTTCTTTGCTGGGAAAATAACATATTAACTGTTAATAATAAGGGTTAACACAAGGATGATGATATTTCAGATTAACCCATCTGGAAGCCAGATTCAATAGCGTCTTACTAGGCAAAATGTTAATCACAGGTATCCGAGGTGAAGGCGGCTATTTAAAGTCTAGCTAGGTATCCTCACTAGGATACACTCCGGTAATTACGTGCACAGTATTTAAGATTTCTTCAAATCAATCAGAACTTCCTGGAATGCTTTTTTCCAGTAAGGTTTACACCAGGAGTTTCATAGTAGAAATACACTTTTCTGAAATGTAACTGACAATCTTATGTTCAACATCATTCCTTTAAGATGATAAATTATTTGCATTAAACGGATTATTTATTATAAGCCTCAACATGTCTTTATCAATGTTGTTTGGACAATTTATGTTTACACTACTAGGCAATTATGAACAGAAAAGGCAGTTCAGAACATTATATTCTCTGGTGCACATAGGGCAAAATTTAAACCATAACCACTACTGCAGGTTAAGCTACATTACAAAAGTTAATGGACAACAACGTATTTTATTTCTGGCAGCACTAAGAGTATTTTATGCACCGTACACAGGAAGACTAACAAATAAGATCACTAATACAATATAGCATTCAGACTACTGTAGTATGACTCTGGAAGAGTTAATGCTCATGAGTACCAAATTCAGGAATTGGAATTCACTGAAGGCATTGACTTCAAAGGTCCCTGAATGCTATTCAGAAGTCCAGCTCAGCTACTGTTGAGGTAAATAAGAATTTTATCTTGAAACTTAAAAATTCCACCCTTTATGAACTAAGCACTAAGGCTAAGTTACACGACTAAACTAATGAATGGTCCAGAAAAGATGACCAGGAAATTACGAGTCAGTGTTTCCCACTCCACAGTAACTATTCAGCACCACATGAAATGATCAAGCAGCAGATTGTAAATGAGTCAACAGAAACATGTGAACTGTGTGCTTGAATCCACTACATGTTGAGCAAGCCTGATGCATCAAGGAAACTCAAAGGAAAATTAGAGAGGTTCTCAAGAAAAAAAAAGTTTCGGCTGTCCAAACCACTGACTGCCAGGGTACAGGAACAGTACATCAGGGCATGCACGTTTAGTTTGCTATTCTACGTATCTGCCACTAGATAAACTGAACCTTCAGAGAAGGTAGATCTCATCTCAGCAAGATGTGCTGCTGGGCTGACCAGAATGGCTATTCTTCATGTGTGAAGTTCTCGAAGATCTCAAGGAGATTTAAATATTTGTATATCCCAAGACGAGGCCAAAATTTGGGCTTTGTGACCAAAAATAAAAAAAAAAGCAGGTTTTGTAACTCCCCCTATCCCCAGACTAGTTTATCTCTCCTACGAAAAAAATAATTCATGTGTGTATTTTCCTCAAGAACAGCAGCTTCAAGTCACGTTGAACCGCACAACAATCATTGTGCATTATACACACTTCTCCTACAAGTGTCTCCAGGGCTTGTAGGAAGAACAGAGGCACACGCTTTGCCTTCCTGTTCTTGCACACATAACGTTTTATCACCTCTTTTGAGAAGTAACAGTGAAAACTGCAATTTATGGGATAGAATATCTTGTTATCTGTCCATAAAGTCACCAAAGGAAAGATCTTTATCTTGCTTGAAAAGGTACGCAGATTCATAGATTCATAGATTTCTAGGTTGGAAAAGACCTTAGAGATCATCGAGTCCAACCATCCCTAATCCCCATTAAACCATATCCTCAAGTAGATCATCCACCCTATTCTTAAACACATCCAGGGATGGGGACTCAACCATCTCCCTGGGCAGCCTATTCCAGTGGCTGACAACCCTTTCAGAGAAGAAATACTTCCTAACATCCAACCTGAATCTCCCCTGACTAAGCTTATACCCATTTCCTCTTGTTCTATCACCCATCACTAATGTAAAGAGTCCTTCCCCTACCTCCCCACCATCTTTTCTCAAGTATTTATAGGCCGTAATCAGGTCTCCCCTCAGCCTCCTCTTCTGCAGGCTAAACAGCCCCAACTCCCTCAGCCTCTCCTCATAAGTTTTATTTTCCAGCCCCTTGACCAGTTTAGTCGCCCTTCTTCAGACTCGCTCCAGGAGCTCAATATCTCTCTTAAAGCGAGGGGCCCAAAACTGGACACAATATTCCAGGTGCGGCCTCACCAGTGCCGAGTACAGGGGCAGGATCACTTCCCTGCTCCTGCTGGTCACACTATTCTTGATACACGCCAGTATCCCATTGGCCTTTTTGGCCACCTGGATTATTCCCTAACATTTCCATTTCTACAGAAACTATCCTTTTGGGCTATGCAGAGCACCAAAACTCAGTGAGGTATAGCAGGGTGAAAGTTGCCAGCAAGCAAAAGTAAAAAAAGCTGAAGTTTCAGTCACTTAGAAACAAAGGCACAGGTCTCTGGGTGAATGTCTGGGGAAGAAACATGTCCCATACAGGAGGGAAGAGGACAGGAAAACAGTGAGGCAGACCATCTGGTATCAATGTATTCAGTGCAAGAATAACAAACCACCTATTTTTCTTAGAGCAATTATCTTTTTCAACCTGATGTGTATTGGTACATATGATATGGTCAAAGCAGTTCTTGTGTAAACATAGCTACATCAGATGAATCACAATTTGTTACAGTAAAATAAAAATCTTCCCACACAGCTTTACTGAAGGTGATAACGTTACAGCCACTCTCACAGTACTATTTATCCCAGTTTAGCATACACTGCTATATTTGTATACAGTACATATGCTGCTTACGCATCCCTACTATAAACAGGGTGCCACTTGCATGCCGCTTACAAACTGCTTCAGACTAACTTCACGCTTACCCTCCTTTCCAGGGTGCTGGCTTACATACAATGCAATTAGTAGGATAAACATAAAAGACAATGTATATCTCTCCTGAAATCCTTGAAGTGCTTCAGCCTATTTCCCCGCTCTTCACAAAGCCACAGTCCTCAGTAACTTGCGCCATACCATACCATTCGTGCCAGCAAACGCTCAAGCACTAAGACTTCCTAACTGACAAGGGACCTACTAAAGCACCACTATCCATCTGTTACAGTCTCTTCATTGTACGCTGACTAATATTCATAGCTTTATAAAACATGAAGATAAAACTTGGGTTTCTCCCTTTTCTTCTACAACCAACTGTAAGTACCCAAGGCCCTGACTGAAGACTAATGATTGAAAAAGAAATCTTAAACTAACAGGAACAAGGCAGCAGGACATTTAGGGATACACACGGGCTCTAGTAATTTGTCTTGCTGCTGCTGCTCTTATCTCACTAACCTCTACCACAAAAATACCCACGGGCTTAGCTGCCGAAAAGCGAGGCTCTGTTTGTTTGAGGAGTGCTTTCCCAATTGGCCTGCCATCCATTTTGGATCAGCATCATCTTGTCCAGCTCCCGCATGCAAAAGGTCTCCAAGAGATCTCCTAACTGAGCGATCATCTTTGGCAAGTGCTTGTATTTTACTCAGCCTAATACCATATGGTTTTGTAATTCAGCAAGAACAAAGGGGCTTTGTCCTCTTAGAATGAAGTGCAGGTAGCATTTGCATGCATTGCGACACACTTTGATGGCCTTTCTGGGAGGCAGCTTATTTCAAATACTGACCAGAAAAATCTTCCTCGTTATTTAAGCATTGTTAAATCACCCAAATTTACGTCTTAAATATACTGTCTAATAGGTGCAAGGTTACCCAGTAAAAAGACATCTTAAGATCAAGATACTTACAAAAAGCAGAAGCAGAAGTGGAGTTATAACAATGCCCTGGAAGAAACGAACAAACAAAAAGTCTGTTAGTCAGGGAAGCAGAATAGTCTTTACTTCCTTGTACCTTAGTGAGTGGAAATACACACACATCATTCAACATCACAGAAATGAAGTAACAAGTTCAACTTTGCTCTTCACTGTTTGTTCTTTAACATCTGTACATCGATCATTTTATAAACTATACTCGGTACAAAGTACCTTTTTTTTTTTACCTCTAGCTTTCCCCATTTTGCACCCAAGCCCCTCTATTCTAAAACATCTGATACACAGAAATACAGATCATTTTTATTTTAAAAAAGCATATTAAAGCTGTCCCCTCATTGCGGTACCTTAACTTCACTAAGCTGCTCCTCCTTAGGGGGAGACTTGTGATCAAGTCCCATGCTACCCAGTCCCAGGTCCTCTTCTGAGCGAAAGCCGCATCAGCCGTGATGAATTAGGTGTCGTGACTGTGTTATGTAAACTGATATTCCCCAAGGAAATGAGCTGAGATCTCAAAACTCATTTCACTTGATTAGACTTTGCGTCTCACTGGTAGAAGGCAAGTCTTTCATCTAATTTAATCACACAGGACCACCTCAGCTTTCTGCATCCCCCAGGCAGGCGCGAGCAAAAAGACTTCACTGTCTTCACTGACAAGGAACAGGTTTAAAGCTGATGATTGGACGAAACAGAGGATTTTAAGTTTCATGAGAGCAAATCTTAAAATGTGTTGTTTGGATTGGGAGTTAACATGACATGCATCAGTTTCACAGCTGCAAATAGCCATTCCCCATCATCTTTCCATCTGACTTCAATATTTTATTTATTGCTCAATAAAATGATTCTATCATTTAATGCATGCTAATTCACAAAGCTTGCTCAGAATGTCTCTAAGCCAAGACTACCCTTCATCCAGATATGTCTCAATAACTAGTTTTTCAGCTATTCACAAACTTTATTGTTTAAAGGATGAAAGTCCGAAACTCGCTCACATCCATCTAAAAGGATGCTTATTTTGTTTGGTTTTAGCTCCAAGTGAAAAACAATCAAACAAAAAAAGCAGTTGCCCCCTGCTTTTCATTTAACCTTGAGTAACACAGCTTTATTTCCATCTTTTGGAAGCTAATATAAAGAAAAACCTTATATAACTAGTTTAATATTTCCTTTCTGAGTCCACAAAAAGTCACAGATCCAAACAGCCCATTAGGCACAGGGAGTTCCTATTGTGCTCTTAAAACAAAACGCAACAAGTAAACGCTACAAGTGATAGCAGGCAAGAAGGATCGAGGAGGCAACAGTTGAGCTGTGCAACTTGAAGGCTCTGCAGAGTTTAAAAACATATTTTAAAATAAATAATATATGCTGTATCTGACTGCCCCACAGCTGAGCTATCCATAATCATTTATCTTTTTGCACGTCACAGCTGAGATAGATCATAAAAGACTAGAAAGAGAAGAAGTAGAAGCAATAAGAATTGCTTCAGGGAGTCACACGCTGTTTACAGGGAGGCCTAGAACAAACGCAGATAAGTTATGAAGAAATACAGGTGTTCAAGTACACCAGCTGTACAGGAAGAAACAAAAGTTGAGGAAGAGGGGAGGTACCAAGACCGGAACCGACACTTGTGTGCAGTAGCATCTATGATGCTTAGAACAGAGAACTGACTCTAAGATCTGTATTACATAGATGCAACACAGTCACTTCATCAGGATGACCGAACTCCAGCTTTTACGAGCTACTACCAAGAATACATGAGCCAGGCTTTACCCTTCTTTCCCTTTCCC